TTGCTCCTTGAATGCCTTCAGGGCACTTTTGCATGGCTGGAGTGTTGTGGGGATCGAACTACAGCAAACTGAGGCTGCCAGCATTGTGGAAGCAGCCAAGGGTAGAGATTTAAAACAGCCTAATATGTTCACCTGTTAAGACTTTCCTGAAGTCTTCTTGAAACTTCTGGAAGACCTCCTCCTGCTCTTCCATCAGCTGCGGCATTTTGCTTTAGCAGAAGAATTCTGAGGACAGCCGATCCATGCAGGAGAAATGAAAATTTCATTACCTTTTTCAGGATATTTGCATAGATTGCTAAAGAAAGATTCAGTGCCAGGAAGGCAGGCAGCAGGAGGCTTTGCTAGAGCCCGGCCTGTGGCTCTTTCCATGGATTTCCTTGTCTGAATGCTCCAGAATCCTTTAGAGTGTCTTACTGAATAGAGCCAAATGTTCTCACTGCCACTTTTCTAGAACTTACAGACACAGAAGAAAACTTGATGTACCTACGGCTAGTTCGCCTTTTAGTCAGGAATTTATAACATTCTGCTAGGAAGAAGTGCTTTCTGCACTCACTTTTCTTGTTTTAGGCTCCCCAGTAGAAGGCTGTTTGGCTCTTGTTCTTAGCAAACTTCCTTTGTTCAGGTTATTCAAACCAAAGTTCAGCCTTCTCTAACCACCTTCATTCACCTGTTTAGGAAGCTGCTATTTAGAAACTTGTCTAGTATCTTTTTCTCCCTACTGATCATTGAAATTTAATCCCAGTAGTATTATAAAAGAACATGAATTTTTTTCAAATCGGTCTTCTCTTCCATGATTCAATATGGCGAGGAAGAGTCTCTTTGAGTGAAAATACATGTACTGAATACTTATGGCAATATATAATTTTAATTTGGTCTATAAAATGTTTATCCTGGGGAATAATGCTCCAAAGTCCTATCTAGGGCACACTCCATGAGGTAGTCATCGTGGTTTTGTGCATTTGCTTCTTTATTTCTGTTCTGAGGGTCTAACCCGGGGTTTCATGCCTGCTAGGCAGCATTCTACTGGTGAGCCACACCTCCAGCCCACAGTGTATTTTTGAAGGTTTACTTTGAAGTGGCCCGTTGCCTGATCTGTGGTACTATGATGTTATTAGGATGTTGATGGTTTAGTAAAAGAAAATAGGGTCCAAGGATTGGTTGAATTGCACAGATACCTGGTACTGCTGCATCAGCACTTTCAGCTTACTCAGACCATGCTTGTGCAGCGCTCCATTTTTTTAAAATTCAATTGTATTCAAAGTTAATTTTTAAAAAATGAATTATAAGGGGAAATGGCATACTAATGACAGTATTTCTGCAGTAACGTTGAAGAAGAAGCAGCAGCTACAGTAAACTCATTTGTCACATAAGAAGTCACTTAGGAAATGGCAGCAGTGCAGTAAAATCAAAGGAACAGGAAATAGGGACACCATGCAGGAACAGTCTTGAAAACTGTTGTTCATCTAGACAGAAGGGGCTGAGATTCTTGGGCTGGAGCCACAAGCTGAAGGTGTTCAAGGCTATTTCTTTTTCAATAGAAACCTCACTGTGTTAGTTAGCTTTCTGTTGCTGTGACCAAACATGTAAACTAAACAACTTAGAACAAAGAGAACTTGATCTTGGCTCACAGCTCCGTTGCGTGGTCAGGTGGCCCTACATGCTGGGCCAGTGACAAGGCTGAACAGCATGGTGGAGAGTGTGGAATGGAGCAAAGCTGCTTCAGTCCTGGTGGCTGGGAAGTGGGAGAGACAGAGAGAGGAGGGGCCGAGGTCCCAGAGTGTCCTGCTAGGGAACATTCCCCATGGCCTAACTTCCTTCTAGTAGGCCCTGCCTCCTAAAGTTCTACAACCCTCAGTAGTACCCCAAGCTGGCAACCAAGTCTTCCACATAGGAGCCTTTGTTTGAGGACCTACAACAGTTTGGAACTTTTTCAAAGCAGTTGATACTAATTTAGAAATGATGCTCCTTGCCTACCTCTTGAGCGAGCCAAAAATGCAAGTTCATAATGTACATCTTTCTTATCCCCAACTTTTCCCCTAAAGTTGAAACACGGGTGGTTGGAGGACATTAATATTCTGCCCGAGTTCGTGATCATTTAGCAAGGTCTCACCAAGGAGTAAGATCTGGCTTCCAAATCCTCCAGCAGCTGCAGATTGGACTGGGTGAAGTCCCAGAACTGCGGTGTCAATGGCTCATTTGCCCAAATCTTCAGCCCCCAAGCAGGCCTGTTTTGTTTGGTTTTTTTGAAGCAGAAAGGAACAGAAGACCATGGAATTTAAGAAGTGTCATTAGGAATGGAGGGGGTTGGTCTGCATAGAAGGAAGAGAAACCTTAGCCTCAGAACACAAACAAAGCTAAGCACAAAAATGAAAAGAGGATCTTGGAGTTTCATCAGAGGCAGAGCCAGCAGGAAAGCGGAGGGCCTGCATTTGGTGTGGGTCCCTGGAATCACAAGTGCAGTTTTGTTTTCTCTCTACTGTGCTGACTCAGATGGCGACTTTGGCAAATTTCTCAACATCTCTGTTCCTCATTTTCCTTCTGAGAGCAGTAGTCCTGCCTTCTCTGGAGACTGAGCCAGTGTGGGGGCTATGTTGGGAGGGAGGTTTCCTTTTCTGTTGTTCTTCTTTTGTTTCTGTCTGGAGACATTTCTTGTGCCTCATTTGCCAGTTTGTTTTTGCAGCTGAGCTCATTGTGAGCTGAGGCGGAGGCTGAGGCCTTCTCTGGGCATCTGTTTCTGGTGGCTGGTGGTGCTTGTGGGAAGCACGCCCCATGTGAGGAGTACAGTGGCCCGTCCTTTAGCTGCCCGTGGTCAGCCCTTGGCAACCACTCAGGCTTGTCTGAATCCCCTGAACAGTGGCTGAGCAGCATGCAGAACACTCCTGGGTGAAACTTGTGGAGTCCTTGCTTGCTGTTTGCTTATGGAATGCACCTGTGAGTTGTTTGTCCATGTGTACTTTAACCTTTAATTTATAGGGAGTTTGGGGTATAATTAGTACTCTGAGTGCTAGAAGGGGTGCCATCTGGGGTGAAACCCTAAATCCTGCCCACTTATGCCACCAGGAAGATAACGAACCTGGAGGCCAGGCCCTCAGTAGGCACAGGATGGGAGAAGGTAGATGGCTGTGGAGCATACTAGCTTTTCTACACATTGGGGGAAGTAACTGCTTTCCAGTTTAGCCTCCTTGTGGGGGCTAGACAAGAGCTGCCTGTAAGATGATAGCCTGGCCTGACCCACAGTGCTCCACGGATGCCAACTTACACTTCCTCTTTCATCTGTGCGCTAGAATAAAGGACCCAGGCGAAGCGATCTTTAGGAGCCTATGAATTTTGCAAGTTCTATACTCAATGCATTCATATTGCAGTGGCTGTGAATCTTGAAAAAATTTTGAATACTTGTACTCTACACGCAGGTGATGTGTAATCACTAGCTATTGAATTTGACTCTGTCAATGGAGCCTTCATGCAAATCCAATGCTGAACAATGCTGATTATTTGTGTGTGTGCTGGGTGCCAGGCCCCATGCTGGACCTTTCCCAAATGCCCTCGCAATTACTCATCTCATAATCCCCTTTTCAAGGAGACAAGTAACACCCTCGATTTTTCAGATGAATAAACTGGAGATCAGTGAGAAAACCTGCTCTGTGTCTCACAGCTGGCAGATGGAGTCAGGATGGCCACAGATTAGTTACCTATTGGTATGTGACAGTGCAGCCACTAAATTAGTGGCACAACACAGCATTTCTTCTTCCTTAGTTTCTGTGGCTTAGGAGTCCAGGCTTCCTCACATCCTGTCCAGCAGTCTTGCTGTCCTGCAGTCCCTTGTTGGTTAGAGCTGTTTTTTCATCTGAAAGTCAAGTGGAGAAAAGTCCAGTTTGAAGCACCTGCTGCTTTTATCATAATTTAGTTTCTTGCAGGTTGTTGAATCAAGATCCTCTGAGTTTCTTGCTGGCTTTTGCCCAGAAACAGTACTTAGATTCTTTGCCATGTGAGCCAGCTAGCAAGAGGATCTCTTCAAAAGACAGGTTTGGTCTTACGTGACACAATCATGAATATGTAATATGTGCATCTCATCATCTTTGCTATATTCTGCTGGTTGAAAGCAAGGCACAGGTTCCAGCCACATTCAGGAGGGGACCCCAGGCTGGATGTGGTGGCACACACCTGGAACTGCAGCACTCTCAGAAGCTGGAGGGTTTCAAGTTCAGATGCAGCCTGGGCAGCTTAGCCACTTAGTGAAAGCTTACCTCAAAATAAAAATTAAGATTTAGCAAAGGAAGGGGCCGGAGAGATGGCTCAGTGGAATAAGCACTTCAATCCCTGGTTCTGAAGAAGAAAAAAAAAAAAAGATTTAGCTACGGAGATGGAGCTGGGATATAGCAAGTGTGAAGTCCTAAAGAAAGGGCACGCTAGGTGAATGTCTGAGTCATCCTCGAATCTGTCCGCCCTCAGTACCGAAGGTGGGAGATACAACTCTAAAATCCAAATCAAAAGTCCTAGCAGGATGAGGAGGATCTGCGTAGATGGGAGTGGTCTGGGACGACATCGACATCGTGTGCTGACAGACACGGGAAGAGGGCAGGTGTGGGGTTCCATGGGTGGAGCCGCAGGGCAGAAAGAATCCTACAGGGACACTGATCCACAGTGAGAGGCGGTGACTATATAAATACCACCTAGCCCTTGGAAAGTCAGTCACCCCTCGACTCCAAGCTACTTCCTCTTGGGCTGGGGGCAGGAAATGAGACAACTGAAAAAATCTGTTGTATTCCACACAGAAGAGTTTGACCTTACAAATGGAGGGAGAGGATGAGCTTAGTTACCCCTTTCTCTTTTGAAAAATGAGTGCTGATATATCTTTTGAAATGCTGCCTGAGTCTCGGAACAGCTTGAGTGAGTGACAGGAACTATGTGTTTCTCTCTGTGAACAGAAAGTGAAACGACTGATAGCGTGCCCAGCGATGAGGAGAGCGCTGAGGTAAGCTGACTTCCTGCTGCTGTACCTGCCTTGCCTCCTGATCATAAAGTTTTACTTTTGGATTTTCTTTCAAGTATGGTGAAAAACATATTACCTAAAATATATCATATTCTTGGGCTTTCAATTCTAAAGTATTGTGCTCTGCCTGAGAGGGAAGGGCATCAACTGTTACCATCAGAAAGAGAGGCTATGGAGGCAGGAAAAGGAAATTGAAGTCAAGGCCAGGAAATGTTGATATTCTTATCACTACAAACAGTCCATTCACCATCAGAAATAGAAAGTCCTGCCCAGCCCAAAGCAGCGACCAGAAGAAATAAATATCAGAAGGGGCTAAGTGAGATTCCCTGCACACATGCACGGTTCGTTCCATGTGATCCTGTCTGGACGCTGCTGTGTGTCCAGTCTCAATTCTCTGGCTGCCTACTTCTGTTTCCCAACTTCCCTCTTGTATGATGGATTCACACAATGGTAGGAAGTGGCCGTAATGGTGATGGACAGAGAAGAGGGGGCGAGAGGAATACAGAAATGGGAGCAAGGGGGAGAAGTTAGTGATTGTCTGAACTAGCAATTTCCATTGTGCTGAATACTTACAGTACAGTATAGGAATCCCAAAAAGACAGTAGGCGTCCATGCTGGTACGTTTAGACTCAGAAGTTCAGCTCTTCTGAATGAATCCACCCTTGCCCTAAGCCCATTTGAAAGCAGTCAGGGAACATTCACTGCTTGTTCTTGAGTTCCTCCCTTCCCTTCAGCTGCAAATAAGGTAGACTCAAATACCTCATGGGGTCAGCATGAGGAATCCAGTCACCTTAGTGAACTGTCCGTCATGACCTGAAACCTGGTGAATGATTGGCTTGGGGAAGCCAGAAATATGTTCTCACTTTGTTTAAAATGAGTTACCACCTTCTTTTGTTGCCTTTATGGAATAGTCTTGGCCATATTTCTGGGAGGTGGCAAATAGGAATTGGTTAAAAAAAAAGAGAGAGAAAGAAAAGAGAAACCACTTCTTGGGGGTATGACTAGCTGGGTATAGATCACCACTCACTAATACAGTTGTAAAACTTTTTTTGTTCTATAATTCTTAAAATATTCATTTCAAACACCCATACAGGAGAGCAGTAGCACATTTTTAAAAAGCTATTCGATGGAAGCAAAAGAACATACATATTTCCTTGTTTTCTTTGAAAGGGGAGACCACACTGGCGGAAGAGGAACATTGAAGGCAAACAGTACCTCAGCAACATGGGGACACGGAGCACCTACCTGCTGCCTAGCGTGGCATCCTTTGTCACTTCCAACAAGCCTGATCTCCAGGTCACCATCAAAGAGGAGAGTTGTACAATGCCTTACAGTAGCTCCTGGCCCACACTTACAGACCTCTCTCTCCCTTCCTCTGTGACCCCCACACCCAGCAGTAGTCGGCCGGACAGGGAGACTCGGGCCAGCGTCATCAAGAAGACGTCAGATATCGCCCAACCCCGAGTCAAGAGCTGCTAAGTCTTTGACCCTCCCTAGTGGTTGTTGGGATTTCTTGGCTTTGTGTTATTGTTTGTATTTTATTTTCTCTCTGACACCTATTTTAGAAAATATTAAGGGGGGAAGCCTTGACAATAGAACATTGATTGCTGTGTCCAACTCCAGTACTGGAGCTTTTTTTAAACTCAGGACTCCAGCCCGTTGGTGTCTCTAGAGCCTGCTGGATCTCCCAGGGCTACTCCCTCAAGTTCAAGGACCAACAGCCACATGGGCAGTGGAGGTGCTGCGTTGCCTGTGGTCAAGGCCAGCATGGTAGAGCGGATGCCTCAGAATGGACGAGAAAATGTGAACTAGCTGGAATTTTTTATTCTTGTGAATATGTACATAGGGCAGTACTAGCAACACTGCAGTCTGCTTCTGCACCTTATCTTAAAGCACTTAGGCCTTCTTGTGATCTTGCTCTATTTCACAGCACATACAGCGCCCCCTTCTTTCCCTGTTACCCTGCCTTCTACCCTCTCCCATCCAGTTCCTTTCCTCCTTTTCCTCTCCTCCAAGGCTGTGCTCTACACCCTGGAGGAGGAGAAGAAGAAAATGAACTTCTCCACAGATGTCCCGTTTTAAGACTGCTTGGGGAAAAAAAAAGTCTAATCTGCTATGCTTGAATGCCACGCGGTACAAAGGAAAACTATCATGGAAATATTATGCAAATTCCCAGATTTGAAGACGAAAATACTCTAATTCTAACCAGAGCAAGCTTTTTTATTTTTTATACAGGGAATATTTTATTCAAGGTAAAATTCTAAATAAAATATAATTGTTTTTTATCTTTTCTACAGCAAATTTATAATTTTAAGATTCCTTTTCTTGTTTATCAGCAGTTGTTATTACATCCTTGTGGCACATTTTTTTTTAATTTTGTAAAGGTGAGAAAAGCTTTTATGAGCTCATGTAGCAAACAAATTATCCTGTGGATTGATAATAAATGAATATGATATATAGTTAAATTTTTAATGGGCATCACTCCTGGCTTTGTCTCTGTCTGATTAGAGCACAATTATGGGGCAGGAATAGCAAAGTATCATTTCTTCTTGAGGACCGAAACATCCTCTTGCTGATCACAAAACAAGCTGGAGATGCCCACCTTGAGGTGGCAGATGCCTTCTGCTGCCAAGTGCCCAACATGTGCCGGGTGCCATGTTGAACGTCTTACCCAAGTAACCTTCTTTGCTCATTGCAGCTGTGCACAAAATAGGGATTTACCCCTCTTTCACATGGAGGAAATGGGGACCCAGAATAAAAATGCCTTTTCTCTGGTCACTTAGGAGGGAAGAGCCAAGGGCATTGAAGATGAAACTATGTGTGGTGTGACTGTGGAGGGAGTCTGTTTACCCACCTCACTGTGAGCAGATTCCACCCACCTCTGTTTTTCCTCTGTTTATCTGTAGGCTGTGTATATGGCTAGAGTTTGTGTTTCTGTCTCACACCAGGTGCATGAGTAAGACATTTTCAACAACAGGAAATAGTTATGAGGTGCTGATTCCTTGTCTGTTATTCTTTCCAAGACCTCGGCCTTAAATGGAGGCCCTCCTTTCAAAACTTAGGGTATGTTTTGGAGTAAGCAAAGTGACCTGAAGAGCAACAGTTCCTGTCACTTATTTGGTATTTCAAGGTGTATACCTGACCTTGAGAAAGCCCCTGCCTTAATCTCTCATGCTCCCCAGAATAGTACTAAAACAGCTGCCTACCTACCTCCTCTGGGGTGTTGTGAATAGATTGGTAAGTTAATATTTGAAAAGGTTCCTTCAATTTATGAAAGGACAAAGGGCTATTTTTATGCCTATCTCTCCATGTGTGGCTGCAGATATAATTAGCAGTCATAAAATTCTCCGCCCAGAACAGATACCCACTGAAGCAGTTACTGGTGGGTTCATTGGAGCTGAAATGCCGCCTGTGGAGAGTTGACTGTTTCTGTGGTGATCACTTTTGTGGAAGATATTTATGTCAACCTCTTCATGAAGGGAGAAATCATAAGGTCCAAAGCAGAGGTCAGCTCTTTGTGACTTCTGCAGGAATCCTGTCATTCAGTCATCCTGTTTTGATGTACATTTGAAAGGAAACCAGCAGAAGCTGGCCCTGAGTCACATGGCCTGAGGGGTCAAGGGACTTGGGGCAGCTCTGGTTCTCTGCCTCTGCGTTCTTCTCAAACTCCACATCACTACCCTTCTCCACTTTTGTGGTGGGAAATAGGCTGAGCCTTAGCTGGTGAGTGCAAATTCAGGATTTGGAAACACAGTTGAAGTACTGAAGTTAAGACAGCATTGTGAATAAGACTATGAAGCATGCCTGAAACAGAAAACTGCTTAAAATGTTTCTAAGAAAGTTGCATTGTTTTGCTGACTCTTGCCATTAATACAAGAGAATAAGATAATTATGCAATGCCGAGGGTCCATGTGACAAAAACAACAACAACACATGATGGGACATGCCAGGAACTCAAGCCCCAGACCTTGTTGTTGTCACTTAGAGGAAGTACTAGGGACATGTGCTTCACTTGGTTGGCATCTGTATAAGTTGATAAGGTTTTATTATGGGCTTGGCTGTATGTTGTGTTTAAGTAGCAAGATCACTATAACTACCCTGGAAACAATCGTTTCCTTTCTCTCCAGCCAGCAGGTAGGTCATTCCCTTGATAACAAAGCTCACTGCACAGCTGCAAATTGAGAGTCCATGCACAGGCACTTCTCCTGAGCCTCGAGGTTGGGAGAAGCCTGCATGGCCAGCGTCCCTAGATACCAAGGCCTCCAAGAAAGCCATTTGAAAGTCTAAGTAGATTCAAACTCAACCGAAGCAGTTCTGTGTTCAGATGAAGTAACTGCCAAAAGCACTGTTTAGACTATTTAAATATTTATAGAGAAGAAGAAATATACATGAATGGATAAGAAATACAAATTCTTTGGACATCAAAATCCTAAAATAATATCTTTCTCCCAAATGTACAATGTACTCCACTATGTTTAGTCACTACTGAGAGACATTTTAGGAATGAGGAAGACCAGTGATTTGATTTCAGGCTTCTGAATTTTCAAACATGTGCTTTTGGAAACATTTTGCATGTGAATGAAAAAGTGCTAAGCCCCAAATGGCTTCCTGCACATAAACCTGAGACATGGAACATTAGCCCCTCCATGTGCTTGAGGCCATTCTTTTAGTACTGAATTCATTAGGCTTTGAAATACCCCTGTTATTCTAGCTTTGGACAAACAGACCCAGATAAAAGGAGGGAAATAAGAACCCCCACTCTTCTGCCAAATTTCTACTGAAAGAAAACAAAAGCCTAGGAAAAAATTGGCAAACGAGATAGCTAAGATGTGTTCCTGGTACACAGAGGTCGATAGCCAATATCTAAGTACAAATTTGGGTTAGGAGAGAGAATGGAAACAGAACCTGGTTTTTAGCCAGTGATATTGAGCCGTCTGCCTCATCCTGAGACTCCGTCCAGTGGCACATCCACGGCCAGGATGATGAGCCAGGGGACAAGAATCTGACCTGGCTGGGGCTGTGGCAGCTGCTTCCCCTCTGTCCAGGGCACTGCTCCCTAAGGTATCGTAAGTGTTTCCGTCTCCTGCGGGACTGTAAGCATCCTCTGGTGGTGTCTCAGCCGCGTTCACATCCCAACAAGTAGAACGAGGTAAGGTCCTCATTAGGCAGTCAGTGCCAGGTTCCCCTTCTTCCCTGTGTGTCACTGTCCCCACTGTCAAGAGAACAGGGCTGCAGGCTTCAGGTGTGCCTTTTAACAATGAGGCCAGCTGCAGGCCTGGGGAGGAGTGCCCTAGATGCATGAAGCTTTGGGTGAGCAGATGCAGAACAGCTGTGAATGGCTACAATGTGCCCTCGTTGGGTGCCTGGCTTCTGGGACCCCACCAGCCCTTCTGGACATTGATGCCATCCCTTGCTCAGGACTGGGCATTGCTGACTGTGCTGTGAGGACAGGGGAGGATTCCACAGAGGTTCATGGCCACACTAGCACCAGGTACAGAGCCACTGTCTCTCTGCTTCTGAAAATAGTGCCTGGAAGGAAGTGGTCAGGCCTAAGAACTGGTTTTAACAAAAATGTTAAGTCTGTCCAAGAACCTGGGTCATGCTGTGTGGAAGAATGAAGATATAGGACTGTGGCATTCACATAGACAAGAGAATGTGCTGAGCCCTTTGACCAACTTTCTTCAGAAGAAAAGCACTTTGTGTGCTTTGTTCCTCTAATCAAGCTGCCCTTGGGGCTTTAGTCCGTTTCTCCATATCTGCTTTATAAACATGTTCAGACAGAGGCTGCTGGCGCTGTGGAATGTATTGTGCTGGGATTGTGCAACTGCGGCTCAGTTAACCCGTTCTGCTCTCTGCTAGGGGAGCACCACTGTCATATGCAACAGTCTTGTCGCAAAAAGGTTGATTTTTAGCAGCCCAGCATTTTCCAAATGCAAAGAAAAAAACATCAGAGCAATAGCTTCTCTAAGTTGCAGTTTAAGTTGAGAATATTTTAAAATTTAAATACCCAAATATCTGTCCCCATGAATCATAAGAGAACCAGACTATCCAAACTGTTCCATCTGCCGGAAGGTTAGCTCTTATATCCGAAAGTGCTCTTATTCTCCAAACTCTCTCTAAGGTGCCACTCAGAGGCTCTGACATTTTGAATCTAGGTTTTATACTGGGATGTACTGCTGTAAGTTTCAGGATAATGATAGCAACTAGGTCGGGATGGCCTTCTTATGGTTAGTGGTGAGCAAGCCTGTATTCATTCCTGAAATTAACGCTGGTTGGCTTTCTCTGCAGAGTTCACTCCTCTGTCTCCCAGTAATACTTCGCCAGTGCTGTGACTCCAAAGCTCATCTTTATTCGTAGTATGTTTTTTCCTCTGGAAGGCCCATATC